CCCCACGTTCCCTCCCTCCCAAACCTCCCAAGTTGTAAAGTTCATTTCCAACATCTTGTCTTGTGAGTATCAATTTTGTATTTTAACCCTTTGTCCTTTGTCTTATCATTTTGTAACAACAGATGCTGGTGGGGTTGTGGCCAAAAGGGAACCCTATTACACTGTTTTTGGGAGTGTAAACTTATTCAGTCACTCTGGAAAGCAGTATGGAGGTTCCTCAAAAGGCTAAACATAGAGCTCCCCTATGACCCAAAACCCCACTCCTGGGCATACTAAAGCTACCAGCACAACCATGTTCACTGCAGAATTATTTACCATAGCTAAGATATGGAACCAAGCCAAATGTCCCTCATGTAGATGAATGGGTCAAGAAGATGTGGTATTCTATGCCTTCATCTGAAAGAATGGCATTGCCCCATTCATAAGGAAATGTAAAGACAAAATGTAAACCAAAACCAAAGAAACACAAACTTCATGGTTTGTAACTAGTAATTAATATATGCCTAGGATAGTCCTAGAAGAGGATCACAATTGGTAAATAGCTATGTACCATATAAGATTATGCTACATGAAATGAACTCCAAGATATGGAAATGAGGTTTTTCTTCATTGTTGTTTGTTGTTTTTCTTTCTCTCTCTTTCTTTCTTTCCTTCCTTCTTTCCTTCTTCTTCCCTCTTCCTCCTCCTCCTCCTCCACCACCACCTCCACCACCTCCTCGTCCTCTTCTTCTTCTTCTTCTTCTATCTTCTTCTTCTTCTTCTTCTTCTTCTTCTTCTTCTTCTTCTTCTTCTTCTTCTTCTTCTTCTTCTTCTTCTTCTTCTTCTTCTTCTTCTTCTTCTTCGTTTCCTTCTCCTTCTCCCTCTTCTTCTTTTTTTTGTCAGTCATGGGGCTTGAACTTTCAGCTTTTCAGCTCAAGGTAAACATTCTACCATTTGAGCCATGGCATCACTTCTGGTTTTCTAGTGGTTAATTGAAGACAAGAGTCTCACAGTCTTTTCTGCCCAGGCTGGTTTTGAATTACGAACCTCAGATCTCAGCCTCCTGAGTAGCTGGGATTACAGTCTTGAGCCACCAGCACCTGGCCGTTGTTATTTCTAATGTACTATGTGAAGTTATTTCTTTTTTCTTCTATTCTTTTAAAAAAAAACTATGGTTCATCTCCTGTTGTCACTGTATTTGATTTTGGAACCTAGTGTGTTGCATATATGTTTATCTGAATCCGGAAGGGAAGTGGACTCTGCTATTGCTCAGTCTGAGAAATGTTCTTTCTCTCACAACAGGTCACATCTGCAAGTCTATTCTTGTGCTACTACCAAGCTGTTTTTGTTGTAATGGATTTGTAATAGAGTTTGAAGTTCTTTCTGCCAAGGATGTTTTTGCCATTCAGGGTTTCCTATTATTCCATATGAATTCTTGCATTGCTTCTTCTATATCATTGAAAAATATTATAGGGATCTTGATGGGGATTGTATTAAATTTGTAGGTAGCTTTGGGAAATATTGTCATTTTCATGATGTTAATACTTCTAGTGTAGAGGCCTGGGAGGGTTTCCCATCTCTTCAATCTGCTTTAATGAGATCCTTCACATCTTTGGTTAATTCCAGGCATTTTGGTTTTTTGAAGCTATTACAGACAGAATTGCTTTCCTGAGTCCCTCAATGGGAGCTATGGTGTTTACATTATCTACTTGGGTGTTTGGTGGTCTTTCTTATCTAGAAGATACAGGGAAAGGCAAGTATTTCTCCCTTTTCCACACCTGGCAGAGTTGCAGTGTAACTGTTGTTTTTTCATTTTCTATATCTAAGGTTCAGTATTTTTTATATTCTCTGGTCACTATCTTTCTTAGATTTTACTGGTACACTTTTTTCTTTTACTAATTTACTGACATTTTTTATTGTCAAGGTGATGTACAGGTATATTTCTTATCAAACTTGTTCCCCTTCCCTCATTTTTCTTCCACTCTGCTTCCCCCTATCCTGCAAGTTGTATAGATCATTTCCAAGATACTGTCTTGTGAACATTGCAGTTGCATTGGTTCCCACTTTGTCCTTTATCTCACTATTCTGTTGTTCCCCTTCCCTTCCCTAATTCAGATAAATATACAGTATACAAATACACAATACCAGTACCGAATTCAAATATAGTGACAACAGGAATATACCATAGGGGGAAGAACATTCAAAAGAAACAAGAAATCACTGCCCCATCAACAATTGGGCAAAGATTTAAAGAGAGAATTCTCTGAAGAGGAAATAAGAATGGCCAATAGACACATGAAGAGATGCTTAACTTCTCTGGTCATAAAAGAATGCAAACATTTCAAAACAACATTGAGATTCCACCTCACCCCAGTTAGAATGACTGTAATCAAAAAGTCTAGTAACAACAGATTCTGGAGGGGATGTGGCCAGAGGGAACCCTACTGCATTGTTGGTGGGAGTGCAAACATGTTCAACCACTTTGGAAAGTAGTATGGAGGTTCCTCAAAAGACGCCACATAGAGCTCCCCTATGACCCAGCAATCCCATTTCTGGTCATTTACCAAATGATCTCAAACAAGGCCATACTAAAGCTACCAGCACAACTATGTTTATTGCAGTATTATTCACCATAGGTAAGATATGGAACTAACCCAGATGCCCCTCAGTGGATGAGTGGATCAAGAAAATGTTATATATATATATGCCTCCATCAGAAAAAATGACACTTCCCCATTTGTTAGGGAATGGAAAGACTTGGGAAAAAATCATATTAAGTAAAGTAACCCAGTCCCAAAGAAATTTAGGTCCGATGGTTTCCCTTGTTTACAACAATTAGTATATATGTAGGATAATCTTATCAGATGAGCTGAAAAGCTCAAAAGCCATGTACATATAACCATATAAGATGATGCTAAGTGAAATGAACCCCAAGATATAGACACAAGAGGTCTGTCATTATTGTTATTGTTTAAAATGTACCATGGGATTTTAATTTTTGTTGTTGTTTCCTTTGTATGTTCTTTCCCCTATGTCATATTCCCTGTTGTCACTGTACTTGATTTTGGTACCTTGCAATGTATATACATTTATCTAATATGGGGAGAGGAGGGGGAATAACAAGGACATGCTGAAACAAGGACATAGGATGACCCATTACAACAAGGATACCTACAGGACAGTTTATTGGAAATGAACTTTACAACTTTGGGCAGTGTGGGGGATAGGGTGGGGTGGGGAGGAGTGTGCGAGGTAGGAGAGGGAAAGGATAGTTTGAGCTTCCAGAGGCAAGAATAATAGTGGGAGGATTCGAGAGAGCACTGAGTTCTGCACTGAAAATAGAAAACTAAACTGACCACAGCTGACATGGGTTGAGAAGGTTCAGTTGCTTTATTTATGTATTGTTTTGTTGTTTTATTTGTTGGTTTATTGTAACAATGTTATGGATTTTACTTATACCCTTGAATATACTAGGTAATAGTATCAAAGGGCTAAATCTGTCCAATTAATTATTTTTGTTTTCCTCCCAGAGGTCCTGACAGTTAAATAGAGATAAAGACATAGTCAAAAAAATTGGTGCAAACTCCTGAAGTCTTCTAAAATCTAATAGTTACATGCATATTCATAAATGGTTTACAACATACTTTCACCTTGAAATCAATACTGGGGTGTTGTAAGGGGATCCAGTCAGTGAGATATAGAGAAGCCTCATTTGAGAGGTTGAATTGACACTCTTTATTGGAGAGCTGATGAATGCAGGCAACTCTTGTTGCAAAGACCTAAAGCCTTAAGAATACACTTAACAGTGTTAGCAAACTGACTCATGAAAGCAGGAGAGTAAAGAAAGAGCAGAAAGAAAATACCAACAACCCAGATCAACCCTAATGAGGGCTGAAGTGGTACACCATGTTGACCAGATCAGAGCCAGGAAACGGACCCAGCACATGAGGCCTGGTGTAATGGCATCTGGGCTGGTCTCACCTTAAAATCTGGTTCGATACAGAGACAGGGTCACAAGAAACTGGAGAATCTTCCAAGTTCAAGGCACAGTACTGACAGATCCAGTAACCTATTATCCAAGTCCCTTTACCAACCTCTCAGGATTCAGGCATACCCATCACCTGGGAGGTGGGATTCCCCTGAACCTAAACAATATAATGCATTTACATATCCTTCTTAGGTCTAAGCAAGTTGGTATATCTGCAATTCAAAAGATGGCTTGTTTCACCTCTAGGCCTTGGAAGCTGGGTGGACAGCCCCCATCACCTGGGTAGGTACCAGGATGGCTATGAAAATAAGTGACCTACTTAGACCTAGTCTTTCCCTTACTTCATGGGTTACAATAAATGTCCAATTGGGACTGGTTATGCATATCTCCAGATTTAGATTGCTCTGAATAATTAATTAAACTAAAATTAATTATAGTCTACAAAACTAAAGGACGTACATTTTATTAGCAGAAAAGACCAACTTGTCAACATGTCAATGAGAAATATTTCCAACAATATTTATATATACCAATAGGACTTTTAATTTTCAGAGAGAGTATGACTTCAAGAACATATTTCCAAAAGCCCAATGGATCTAATACAATAATTCACAAATAATTTAGCTGCATGTAGAAATGCTTTAAAGAATACAGATTATGATTCCCATCAGATTATAGAGAGAAAATAAAAAAATCTGAAAAACTACTGTGGATAAGACAGTTATAAACACGGTTTTATGGTTTGTAGGAGAATTCTCCCTATTGATACAAAACTAAAGCTAAAAAGTGCTGACTAAGAAAATATTAAGAAAGGCAACAAAAACTTTATTCATATAGATTGATATAGATATTCCATTTTCATCATAATGCTATATTGAAGTAAAGCTGGAAAAACTGAGATAAGTACATTAATCTGAATTTGCTCAGGAATTACTAAAACATTTCGGAGACAGGGACTGAGACTACTGTGAATTGTGTTCTGTCCAGATTCACTCACAAAACCACAACTAAAGAGGAGAGCAGAAGTTGTTTATCATTGCTCCACTCTGCTTCCAGACATCTCCAGGGTCCCCTGAGAAAGGCTACCTCCACGTTCATTGTCTTCAGGAGTGTCCTGCAGAGCCCTCTGCAGAACATGCTTAAGGGTCTGCCTCTGCTGCTGCCGAAAGGAGCCAACAAAGAAGTAAATAATGGGGTTGGCACAGCTGTTAATAGAAGTTAGTAAAAATAAAAGGTTAGGAGAGTAACAGGTGAACTGAAACACAACATAAGTCACACCGTGTAGGTAATAGCCAATGCCATGGGGTAGGCCACAGAAGATGAAGACCAGTACTGTGAGCAGGATGGTCACATACAACCTGGTCAGTGACATCCGTTGAGGGCCACAGAACATCCTTACAGTCAGAGCCAGGCTGGACCCTGAGAGAATCACAAATAAACATAGCAAGTATCCAGCACTAGAAAGTCTGACTAACAGACATGACTTCCAGTCAAAATAGGTAAGTAGGCCTTGACAGTAATAAGATACCAAAAAAGCCAATGGCAAGGACAGTGTCCATACTATCACACACATGAAGGATGATACATGTGTTGGGCGGTGGCACCGGTACCAGATGGGACACAGGACAGACAGGCAACGTTCCAGGCTAATAACACTGAGGAAGCTCAGGCCTGCTATGTAAGTATACAAAAACACAAAAATCACAACAAAAGAGAAGGAGATTTTTTTCTCATATAAAAAAGGAATCAATATTATCAGGGTCAGAGCAAAATTAGAGCAAAGGTAGAAAAAATCAGCCACAGCCAGGTTTAGGATGTAAACTGAGATGACATTTCTTCGAATCCGGAAGCCAAGGAGCCAGATCACAGCTGTATTTCCTGCCAGTCCAATCACATCAATGATGACATTCAACCACATGAGAATTGTCACCTCCATGAAACAATGTCCCTGATAGGTGTGGTTATAATCATACGTTCCCATCACCTCTGTAATCAAGGCTGATGTGGTTGGTTCCAGGCCCACAATCACTCCATTGGTGCTCCTGAAAGCAAAACCCAAGCTTCAGAAACTCTTATGTAATTTCTGTTTCTCAGCTTTAACCTGAGTATGGTAATCATTGTTTTCATTGTAAAAAGGGAGAAAATAGAATATTTCAGAGATTAAGTAACATATGAAGATTTAAAGATTTCTGGAGTACAGAGCAAATCCAGTACTTTTCAACAATACAGCCTGAGGTCTCTGTGCTCTTCATCCTAATCTTTAAATATCATAGAAATATACTATAATCCAAACACCCCACTCAGAAAGCTAATGCTATAGATTCAGTGCTACTCCAGGCCAGTAAATTTTCTCTCCTATGTAGGAATTTAGAGAGACACAGAAATCACCATGCTAGTTTTGTATGAGGTCCCTGTATTCACAATTTATTCACTGAATGAATGCGTAATACACAACTTTTCCATGTCATATTACATGAGTTAAATGGAAAGCAAAATGAAAATATGGTAAAAACCACTACAGCAGTTCCATAAAATGTGATAGAAAAAATTCTTACATTCGAATTCACTTTTCACAAACTCAGGGTATATTCAGAAGGATTTATGTGTGCCCAAATATCTGATATTGATCATTGACAGGTCTTTGAAGGACACGATATAGTTATGCTAAGCATCTAGAAGAATTATGTGAAGTATGAGTTTATCTATTAGCAGGGCAGTAAGTGGAGTGCTCTGAGTATGCATTATAAATCTGTTTCACACTCTCTCCCCGGTATTTAATGGAGTGTTCTCTGTGATGAGAGGAGTGTATGAAGGGAAGTAGGAAAAGCAAAATTTGTGAAATATCAAGAGAAATGTTTAGGGAGATTTCAACTTTGGAAAAAGGATCTGTTGACACCAGGGTGGAAAATTCCACTAGATTGATAGACATTGGGTCTCAGCAAGCATTGACTCGTTCATTTTATTCAAGAGTCTAGGGTTAAAAATTGTTTTCTTAGCCGGGCGCTGGTGGCTCACACCTGTAATCCTAGCTACTCAGGAGGCTGAGATCTGAGGATCTCGGTTCAAAGCCAGCCCGGGCAGGAGAGGCCGTGAGACTCCTATCTCCAATAAACCACCAGAAAACCGGAAGTGGTGCTGTAGCTCAAGTGGTAGAGTGCTCACCTTGAGCTGAAGAGCTGAGGGACAGCGCCCAGGCCCAGAGTTCAAGCCCCACGACCGACCAAAAAAAAAATTGTTTTCTTCATGTTACCCTAGACTGAACTGAGATAGAATGAATCTGAGTAATTAATCCTCTTCTCTCAAAGCATGAGTGTGAAACCAGCAAGTCTGCTTCAGTTCTGCCCTTTTAACAAATCTTTGAGTGCAACTACCAATGATTCCAAGTAGACTGCAGGTGCCTGGTTAAAAAAAAAAGAAAACAGGAGAAATTCCCAAGCTGTAACCAACATGCTAGTCAAAACTGTGAATGAAATAAAATTAGGAATAGTTAGTTGAATCCTGAGACCCTGTCCTGTCCTGAAATGTATGAGGCCAGAGGCCTTCAAGTGGAATGAGAGGAATGTGGGGAATGAACCCACCATGAACTAACTCTCTTAGAGAGATGAGCTTTCATGATTTTTAGTGGCTTAAACTGGAAAAACAGAAGTTTTACTGATGCTACACAAAGCAACTGTTGAATTCTCTAATATTTAATGAATTTATCTTCCTCATCAAATGTGAAGTTCTGTGAAGAAGAAATCATGTATATTTCATTAACCACCACTCTTCCACATTGAACACTTTTTCCATAGACCATGCATTTTCATATTTCAACACACACTGGGAAAATCTCCATGTGGAGCACACAAGATAATTTTTCTGGGATCACATAATCAAGAACAAGCTTCATGCCATTTCCCAGTTGACTAGGGCCCTGTATGAGGCTTTCCTTCTGTTCTCTGCTCGGTTTATTATTCCTCAGGAGTTTCCAAAATGTTTTCGTATGACCACAGAACCTTAGAGAATAGCAAGGCTTCTCAAATCTACTGGACTCCTCCAGTAGCCAGTCTTTTCTTCTGTACAGTGAGATTTTTGATATTTAAATTAAATAATTGATGTGATTCTCCATTGTATCTTCAGTTTAGTGGCAGATGAGCAGAGTAATATAGCCACTTCAAGGTTGTATGATCAACAGAAGGGATATGCCCTTTATTTACATTGTTCTCTTCCTTAGGCTGGTGTGTTGACATGGCCCCAAGTTATGTTCACCATAAGACATTGGTCAACATCCTTTGTGATTGAGGAGTGGGAACAACAAGGTCCTTGTTTCATATGCTGCAGAACTTCCAGGCTCTATTTTACAAACCTTTTGTTAAGGTCCTTATGTAATGGTCCAGTATATAAGTAGGCACTGTTAGCCTATCCTCCTCCATTTTAACTTAACAATCGCCATCTTAGGTCCTCAGTCCCTTTCTGGAAATAAGGTGACTGCACTTGACTGCAATTGTTAACCACCACCCCTGTGGTGGAATGCTTTCAGCCCAGATGTAGCTGCAACTGTTGCAAATAGTAAACCCAGCCTTTCCATCCCTAGCCCCTGGCCCTATAAAGATATCCCCTTTATAAGACAAGCATTGCCTTGTGTTGCACCTAGTCCGAAAGGCACAGCATTGTTAGTTTGCTCTCTTTTTGGAGTCCATGTGGTCCTCTGGGCTGGAGCTTTCCGGCACCCTCACTCTCTAATATGTAAGAAGTTGTCAGATGTATTCTAGTTTTCAAGTACTTTTTGTAAAGAGGGTGAAAGTTCTATAGAAGAGACAAGAAAAATAAGATGCAAACCAGAAATAATAGCTGCGGTGAAGATGAGAAGCACTTCAATGATATTTAGACTTCACGTAGCAGGAAGACACAAGAGATGTTAAGACTATTTTCATCTCCCATGAAAAATATTGCTCCCAAACTTCTCTGCCGTCTTTCACTTCCCAACAGTGTGGTTTTAGGGAATCCTTTCCGTTCCGTGTGGGTTTCAGTGGAGCCATTGGACAGCACCATTGGCACACTGAAGGACAGTGGGAGAGGAACTTTTCCTTTTCATCATCAATGTCCCCTTTACTAACCTGTGATTTGGTGATGCATGCATTTCTAAACCTTCTTGGTCATCAAGTGTCCTATAACAGATACAGCTATAGCTATACCTTCTCTTTGGCAATAGGTCCTCTCGCACATCTTAAATCCTACCGCAGAAATTCTCCTTCGTCATTTTCTTCCCTCAGTGGATTCACTTTGGGATAGCCATTTTCCCCTGAATCCTACCATACATGACATATAATAATAAGGAGGACCATGTGTTTCTTTTATCTTAGGATCCATGAAGATACAATGTAGGATATTTTGAGAACCAATGAAACATATTTTACATGATGTAAGATCTGGGAAAAAATATACACACACATTTCCTTTTAAATAAATATTAGGAATCAGCATATTTGAAGGTAAATCAAAGGAAAATAAGGACATATGATTTGGAAGATAGGAGAATGTGGTTAACATCATTTAAAATTTCCAGAGCAGGAGCCACCAGCATTCAATTTTCAGAAGAAAGCTTCTGTGTCTGGCTTTTCCCATCCCCCCCTGAATATAGCACCCAATACTGGAAACACAGGGATATAAACTCAGAGCAAATATCATAACTGGATACCTGGATGTTCCTGGAATAATCCTTACCTTTCTTCCATTTTCCTGTTCAGTGTTGCAGGTGTGACCTGTTGTGGAGAGGAAGAGCCTTTCTCAGACTGAGCAATAGCAGAGTCTACTGCTTTGTTCTGAAATTCAAGAGATGACAAGAGCTTGTGGAAAGCTTGTGATCAAGTGAGGATTGTGAAGACTGCAGATAATCTGTTTGATTTTCTGTAGATATGATGGAAGTGAATCATAGACCGGAGCCATCTGAGTCATGATGCTTCACTGAGATGTTTCTTGGCATCTACCCTATTCTTATACCCATATCTGCCTCCCTCATTCCATCTCATTCAGTCCTGTAAGTAATCACTGTTCTGTCCTTTAATTGCCAATTCCAACCTTAGGTGGAAATATCAAGTGATTTTTAGCTTGCATTTGGGTGCTTAGAACTCAAAAGTGCATCATTGGGCCTTTGCCATCCAAAGTGCACCCTGGGCTGATGTACTTGTTGTTTTAGTGTTCATCATAGCAGAGAGACCTTCATTAGTATAATTTGCTTCCAAATGATAGAAAAATGTTTACAAGTTGATAGGCTCCATAAATCCCATAATCCCATTCTCCATTTGTTGCTGCTTCCTATCCTTACTTATTTGCATTTGACTTTGGTTATTTTTCCTTTCCTTCTTCCTTTATTCTTGCTTTTATCCTTCCTTCCATTTTCTTCCTTTTTTTCCCATTCTCCTTTCCATTTTCATACAACTATACCTTCAAATTTGCTGCATTTCATCTCTCATGTTATATTTCAGAACTTTTTACGTTTCTGTCCCACATGCACCAGGCTATAAAGAATTCAACCTGTATATCGTGATGGTACAGAGGCAGTGTGAAGATCAGGGATACAGCAGTAGCCTTGCTTTTGAGCATCCATGCTCTGTGCACAATGGAGGTATTAGTTACGTGCATAATACAAACATTTAGTTTTGGATATTGTATAATTGACTATTCTGATCACATATATCAAGACTATTAAAATGTGTGAAGATGCAACAATGAGATGTAGAAGACACTATATCGAAAAACAAACTTTACAATTTAGGCTGGGGGGGGGGAGGAGAAGGTGGGGGAATGTAGTTGTGGAGATGGGAGGGAAGGGATGGGAGGGGAAAAACAAAGGAGGCGGCAACAATGCTTGATAAGAAATGTACTTATTATCTTGCCCATGTAATTGTAACCCTTATTTTCACAATTAAAAAACAAAAAACCCCCCAAAAAAACTTAAGCAAAAAAAAAAGAAATGTATTCATTACTTTGCTCATGTGATTGTAACCCCTCTGCACAGTATTTTCACAATAAAAAAACGTATTTAAAAAAACGTGTGAAGAGTTGAATTTTGTGTGTGTGTGCTGGCCTTTAACTTGAACTGAGGGCCTGAGCACTGTCCCTGGGCTTTTGTTCTCAAAGCTAGTGCTCTACCACTTTATCTAGAGCTCTACTTCCTGCTTTTTGGGCTGTTCGTTGGAGATGAGAGCCTTTTCTGCCTGCTAGCTTTGAATATGATTCTAGATCTTAAAGTCTTGAAGAGCTAGATTATAGGTGTGTACATTGGCACCCATGTCAGAGTTAAACATATTTATTGTTATTTCTATATGTAGCACAAGATGTTACAATTCCATAAGTCAGGTTATGAGTACAATTCTTCTTTTTCAGTGTCACCCTTTCCTTTGTTCTCTCCCATTTTCCTCCTCTTGTAACTACCATCAAGTTACATAGTTCATTTTTTACATAATGTATATTCAATGTAATGACTAGGTTTGCCCACTTCTCCTCCTCCTCCTTGTCCCCTCATTTTGTCCTTCCCTGAAATAATGTTTCCACCTTCTGGTATTCAGTTTGATGAGCAATTGTTCATAGGAATTGTGTCTTTGTATTCTTCCATGAGGTGGAACCTACTTTATTCAGTTTCTGTGTAAATTCATTGAGCCATGTATATATTTTCATGTATAGTTGTATATGTTTACATAATTGCCCATATTTACGTGCCAATAATAATCATGAATGGAAATGAGTTAAATTATTAAGTTCTCCAATAAAAAATACAAAGAGTAGCACTGGATGCATGTCCCAAGTGGCAGAGTGCCAGAAATGAACTGAGTAAAAGCACAATGTCCTGGATTCAAGCCTCTGTACCAGCCTCATTAAAGAAACAAACAAAGAAATAAACAAAAACAGTTCTAATAAATTTAAGAATGACATACCCAGACCCAAGCAAACACTGCAGAAACTCATCTCATTCTTAAGGAAACACATAGATTTAAATTGGAGAAAGGCAGATATTTCTTTCAAGTGAAAATGAAAAATTACCAGTTAGTATACTTTCTTCTTTGTGGGAAAAAATACCAGAGGGGAAAACCACTAGAAAGAAAGATGGGTAAGATGAAGCAGAACAGACAAACACACGTCTGGTGGTCAGAGAGATGATATACATGCTCTCATACACACAGACTTGAAGCACAAACTGAGTAGGAGAGAAAGGAGAGAGAGAAACAGATTACATATAAATGTAACTCTCAGATGTTCCCTGAATCTTATTTCCAGTTGCCAATTAAAACGATTTTGAAGTAGAGTTTGAATGTCCTAACATCTCTATTTTCATAGTATCCCTAATCATAGCAGTGAAGATAAAAAACAAACCAAATATTTACTGGACCATAATTGGTCTGTTAGGGCTCTGGTACAGGATGAGATGAAGTTAGTCCTTACTTATTTGGCAGGGCATAGTCTTCGCAGTTTGTTAGTTATAAGGATGTGTACCAGCTATATGGACAGCTGGAAGCATGGCTTGCCAGGGACTCAGCCAGATAATTTTTTTTTGGTATTTTCTTGGTTGTTTGATTTTTGCTCTGAGTCTCAGACTGGTCCTGGACTGAGTCCAGATGTATAGACCTTTTGTCCTTACGAACAACTGTTTCTCTGTGTTCTCACTAGGCTTGGTTGTGTCTTTAGGTTCTTTCTTTGCAGTGTCATGCACCCTTAACAGGGAAGTCCACCAGGCTATCTCTTTCCTACACCACAGTTGAATCACTGCAACAAATGGTTTCCCCCAGTCCTGAGAAGGGCATATGTGTTTAAACCTTTAACCAACTCACACTTTTTTAATTCTTCATGTGGAACTTTGTTTACTTGTTCCACTGTGTTGATAAGTGATCTTATAAATCAAGATTGAGGGTGCAATGTCCAACTGTGACTTCTCCTACTATCTTAGTATAGATTGCTTTGGAACAAGTAATATATATATATATATATATATTTTTTTTTTTTCTTGAGCCATTCATCCACTGAGGGGCATCTGGGTTGATTCTAAATTTTAGCTATTGTAAACAATGCTGCAATGAACACAATTGTGCTGGTGACTTTGTTGCAGGCTGGTTTGTGTTCATTTGGGTAAATGTCCAGGGGTGGGATTGCTGGGTCATAGGGGAGCTCTATGTTTAGTCTTTTGAGGAACATCTATACTGCTTTCCTGAGTGGTTGAACAAACCACCAACAGTGTAGTAGGGTTCCATTTTGGTCACATCCCCATCCGCATCTGTTATTTATTAATCTCCTTGATAATGGCCATTCTAACTGGGGTGATAAATCATGGAATTCTATGCTTCCATCAGACAGAATGACACTGCCCATTTGTAAGGAAATGGAAAGACTTGGAAGAAATTATATTAAGCCAAGTAAACCAGACCCACAGAAACATAGGTTGCATTATTTCCCCCATTTGTAATAACTAGAATATGTCTATAAATCTACAAGTTAATCCAATGGATAGGAAAACACAAATAATTATACTTGGATATTATTAATTAAGCAGCACTCTAAATAATCACACAGTGAGAACAAAAGAGGATGTTCTTAGGAGAGGTTCATAGGGATCAATAGTAACATATAACATGATGCTTATTGAAATGAGCTCCAAGAGATGGAAATAAGAGGTTTTTTTATTGTACTATTTGCAATTATTTCTTTTTCTTTTTCCTTTGGTTTATTCCCTTTGGTTACTGTTTTTGATTTCTGTACCCTTTGTCTTATATATCAGTTTATCTGATTTTAGGAAGGGAAGGGGAGTCACAGAAATAGTGAGACAAAAGATGAACCAATACAACAGTGGTACTAGAAACTATGAATGAACTTTACTAGTGGAGGGGGCGGTGCATATGGAGAGTTGAGAAAGGAAAAAGTGGGAGAAAATGAGGGAGGTGATAACACTGTTAAAAAATAAATGTCCTTATTTCCTGACTTATATAACTGTAACCCTTCTATGCATCACCTTTACAGTAAAATTTAAATAAAAAAGGGATAAAGTGACATTTAGCAGTTTTCAAGGTTAAAGGCTATGCCTTTTATTACCAGAATCATGTTAACATGGCAGTAACAAATGTGTCCAGTGGTCTTGTTATAAACCCATTGGACTTTTTATTTTCAGACAAGATATGTTTTCAAGGTCATCATATTCTAAAAGGCCAGATGGTCTTACAAAATGTATGGACTCATTTCCTCACAATTTAGTGGGCTACATGCAGCAATGTCTTAAACGCAGTACAAAATATTAGTTGGGTAGAAACACAGAGAAAAGAAAGCATCTTCTAAAATTTACAATGTATAAGACAATTATATACAGGGTTTATAAGATTTGTAAGATGTAAAATTTATTAGATCTTTAGATTTTAGATAATAAATTTAGATATTAGATTTTAGATACTAGATTAGATTGAAGTTGAAGTGAAACTAAAACTACAAAGTGCTAAATGGGAAAATATTGGGAAGGGATGTGAAGGGTAAACAAAGGAGGAGGCTGCAATGCTTGATAAGAAATGTACTCATTATCTTGCCCATGTAATTGTAACCCCTCTGTACAGTATGTTCACAAAAAATAAAAATAAAATAAAAAAGAAATTAAGAAAAAAAGGGGAAAATATTTAGAGATAACATAAGAACTTTCTTCATACAGAATGGTGTAGACCTTCTACTTTCATACTAATGCTATCTCTGACAAAATCTGGGAGAGTCGAGGTAAAGTGCATTCATTTAAAGATTTTAAGGACTTAGACTATGTATTTCCAGGACATGGATTGAGACCTGAGCACACGACTATCACGACCAGGTTTTCCCACAAAGCCAACTCTAAAAGTCAGGGCAGAAATTGCTGATCATTGTTTCACTCTACTTCCTGACATCCCCAGTGTCCCCTGAAAAAGGCTACCTCCACGTTCATGTCTTCAGGAGTGCCTGCAGAGCGCTCTGCTGAACCTGCTTGAGAGTCTCCTCTGCTGTCGCCTAAAGGAGCAACAAAGAAGTAAATGATGGGATTGGCACAGTTGTTAACACCAGTAGGAAAAACAAAAGGTGAAAAAAGTAGCAGAGGAAAATAGATAATGCCGAAGGGCAGGCCACAGAAGATGAAGACCAGCGCTGTGAGCTGGGCGATCACATACAACCTGGTCACTGGCATCTGTCAAGAGCCACAGAACATTTTAACTGTCAGAGCCAGGCTGGACCCTGAGAGAATCACCGATAAAAAGAGCAAGTATCCAGCAGTAGAAAGTTTACTTAACTGACACCGATTCAAATTATAATGGTCATATGAACAATAATAAATTCACAAAAAGGGAAACAGCAGTGATAGTACCAAGACCAGCACACACATGAAGGATGATGCATGTCCTGGGCGGCTGCACTGGTGCCAGATGGGACACAGGACAGACAGGCAGCAAGCTCTCCAGTCTCATAACACTGAGGAAGCTCAGCACTACTGCCTAAGAAGAGTAAAACACAAAGTCAGAGAATTCTGAGAGATACTTATTACTTGAAAGAAAATGTAAGGTAAAATTGTCCTGGGGAAAACTAAGATGAAAGCAGAGGTAGAGGAAGTCAGCCACAGCCAGGTTTAGAATGTAAACTGAGATGGCATTTCTTCGAATCTGGAAGTCCAGGAGCCAAATCACAGCTGCATTTCCTGTCAGTCCAATCACATCAGTGATGACTTCCAACCACCAGAGAATTATACTCTCCATGACCCAATGTCCATGATAGGTGTAGTTATAGTCATAGCTTCCTGTCATTTCTATCATCAAGGATGGTGTGGTTGGTTCTATGCTCAGAATCGCTCCATTGGTGCCCCTGAAAGCAAAAACCAAGCTTCAGAAACTCTTATGTTTCCCCCTGCAGTGTGAAATCATTATTTTATGGAAGGAGGGATAATATGGGATATCTCAGAGACTAAGTAATATGTCAAGAGTTGAGGATTTCTGGAGTAGAGAAGCAAATCCAGTACTTTTCACTAATACACTCTGAGTTCTCTGCCCTGTACATAGACCAAATATCACAGACATATACTATGAGCCAAACACCTCAGTACTATTAGTGCTAGTACTAGTTTAGGCCAGAGAGAAAAGTTTCTCTCATGTGTAGGAATTTAGAAACACACAAAGTTCATCATGCCAGCATTGTGTGAGGTCCCTACACTTGCAATTTATTCACTGAATGAATTCATGATGCACAACTTTTCCATGTCACATTATATGAATTAAATGGAAAATAAAATGAAAATAAGATTAAAAACACCACTAGAACAGATCCATATAATATGATGGAAAAATTCATCCATCCTATTTCATTTTGTATAAACTCAGGGTATATATTCAAGGTATATTTGTGCCCAAATACTTGATGTTGATCACTGACAGGTATTTGAATAATTCTACATATTTTTGTTAAGCATTTAGAAGAATTGTATGAAGAATAGGAATATCTTCCAGAGGAGCATTAAGAGTAGTGCACCGATGCGTGCACTGTAAACCTATTTCAAATCCATTCCCAGGTCTTAAATGGAGTATTGTCTCTAATGAGCAGAATGTGGGAAGGGAAATAATGAAAGTGCAGGTTGTGAAATGTCAAGAGAGATACTTTCGCAGATTTCAACTGGGGTAAAAGAATCAATTGACATGGGGTGGAAATTTCCATTAGATTTAGGGTTAGCAGACATTGAGTCAATCTTCTCAAGAGTCTGTTAAAAATTATTCTTTTCAAACATAGTCTCCATGGTTTCCCTCATTTGTAGTAATTAGTATATGTCTAGGTAAGTCCTCACAGAGGATCACAATAGCTCAATAGCTATGTACATATGACCATATTAAATAATGCTAATTGAAACAAAGTCCAAGATATGGAAACAGTTTGTTTTTAATGTATTGTCTGAAGTTGTTTCTTTTTTCTTTCATTCTCCTCCCTTTGGTTTATTCCCTGTTGTCACTGTTTTTTACTTGGTGTGTCTTGTGTATATGTTCCTCTTATTTCATTAATTGTTATTCTTTCACATTTAGCAATTTTCCAAAGACCATCCATTTTCATATTAGAAACCGTACTGGGAGGAACTCTATCTAAAGCATACAAGATAATTTTTCTGGGATTACATCATCAAGAATGGGCTCAATCCCATTGGCTGGTCTACTTGTGCCTTGTGTGAAGCTTTGTTTCTGTTCTTTGCCCTGTTTCTTTTTTCTTTTTCTTTTTTTTTTTTTTTGTTGGTCGTGGGGCTTGAACTCTGGGCCTGGGCGCTGTCCCTCAGCTCTTCAGCTCAAGGCGAGTGCTCTACCATTTGAGCCACAGAGCCACTTCCTGCCCTGTTTCTTATTTCACCAAAATTTCCAAAATGTTATTATATGACCATAGAACTCGAGAGACTATCAAGGGTTTTCAAGTCTGTTGGAGTCCACCAGTACCCAGTCTTTTCTTCTTTCCTTGGGGTTTTCAGTTATTTAAATTAAATAATTGATCTGTTTTTCCATTGTATCTTCATTTTAATGGCAGGTGAGTAGAGTGATATAGCAACTTCAAGGTCCTGTGATAAACAGGAAGAGTATGTCTTTTATTCACATCTTTCTCTTCCCTAGGCTGGTATGTTGATCTGGCCCAAACTCATGTTCACCATGTGATGTTGACCAACATCCTTTGGGGATTGGGAACACCATGGTCTTTGTTTCATATGCTGCAGAGCTTCCCTTCCAGACTATGCAAACCTTTTGTTACATTTCTTATGTAATAGTCCAGTATGTAAGTAGGCATTCTCACACTCTAATAAGTACAAAGTACATTTTATATTTGTCAGATACTTTCCCATTTTGAGGCACTTTTTGTAAAGATTGTGAAAGCTCTATAGAAGTGACAAAAGAAAAATAAGATACAAATCAAAAGTAGCAGCTATGATGGAGAGGTAATGAGAAACAATTCAATGATATTTAGAACTCACAGGGAGGAAGACACAGAAAAAGTAAAGACTATTCTCATATTCCAGAAAAAAAATGCTTGCAAATTTCCCTGCTGGCTTTGGCTTCCCAAGAGTATGGTTTCTATGACTGCCATCAAGAGAATCCTTTTTCTTCTGTGTAGGTTTCAATGGAGCAGTTGGACAGCACCATTGGCACACTGAAAGAGGAGGAATTTCTTCTTTTCATCTTCTAGCTCTCTTTAACTAATGTGTGATTTGGTAATAGATATGTTTTTCACATCTATCTGTTAGGTAATAAAGTTCTACTATGACACATAAAATTATAGCGACAATCTCTCACTGACATCAGGGCCACCCATTACTCCCTAAAACCTATTGCAGAAATTCTGCTTCACCGTTTTCTTCCCTCAGCTGATTCACCATGTGATCTCCATTTTCCCCTGAATCCTTCCCTATATGACAGATAATCTCCTTCTGAAGGACTCCTCAGTTATTCCAAATTGAACCGTCTGTTTCTTTTACGACAAGATCCATGAGAGATACAATGTAGTATATTTTGAGAATCAATACATATTTCCTTTGAAATGAACAATAGGAATCAGCATTCTATTCATGACAACACGAATGGAAATCAAAGGGTAAATAAGGACATTTTAACTAGAAACCAGGAAAATTGGGTTAACATTATTTTACATTTTCAGAGTAAGAGCTACCAGCACTTAGTTTTCAGAAGGAAACTTCTGTTTCTGACTTTTCACATAACCGTCTGAATAAAGACCTGATACAAGAAATTCAGGGACATGAACTCAGAACAAATATCATAACTGGATATCTGGATGTTCCTGGAATAAATCCTTACCTTTCTTCCATTTTCCTGTTCAGACTTGCAGATATGACCTATTGTTAAAGAGCTTTCTCAGCAATAGCAGAGTCCTCTTCTCTTCCCTAATTCATATAAAAATATGAACAATACACAGGGTACCATACTTAAACACAATGAGAACAGGGGATAAACTATAGGAAAAAAAGAATGAAAGAAAAAAGAAGTAACTTCACATAGTACATTAAAAATAACAAGGGAAAACCTTCTATTTCCATATCTTGAAGTTTATTTTGCCTGGCACCATCTTAGATGTTCATATATACATAGCTATTGAGCTATTGTGATCCTCTTCTAGGACTATTCTAGACATATACTAATTATTACAAATGAGGGAAACCATGAGACATATGTTTCTTTGGCTCTTGCTTACTTCACTTAATATGAATTTTTCCAAGTCTTTCCATTTCCTTATGAATGGGGCAATGTCATTCTTTCTGATAGAGGCATAGAATTCCATTGTGTATATATACCATATATTTTTGAACCATTCATCTGGCTTGGTTCCATATCTTAGCTATAGTAAATAATACTGTGGTGAGCATGCTTGCACTGGTAGCTTTAGTATGGTCTCATTTGTGAATATTTGGGTAAACGCCCAGAAGTGGAATTGCTGGGTCATAGGGGAGTTCTATGTTTAGTCTTCTGAGTAGCCTCTATACTGCTTTCCAGAGTGGATGAACAAGCTTACACTCCCACCAACACTGTAGTAGCATTCCCTTTTTGCTACATCCCCATCAGCATCTGTTCTTACAAAATGGTGAGACAAAGGACAAAGGGTGAACCAATGCAACAGTGATACTCACAAGACAATCTATTGGAAATGAGCTTTATGACTTGGGGGGGGGGCTTGGGAAGGAGGGAAAGTAGGAGAAAAACAAGAGAAGGGGTTACAATTTTTGAGATGGAATGTACTCACTATGTTACGAATATACCTGTAACCACTTTGTACACCATCTTGACAATAAAATTAAATAAAAAAGAAACAACAGGGTCCACTCTTTTGTTCTGAAATACAAGAGATGACAAGAGCTTATGGAAATCTTGTGATCAAGTGAGATTTATGAAGATTGCAGACAACCTATGTGATTTTCTGTACATGTGCTGGAAGCAACTCATAGACCAGAGTCATCTGAGTCATGATCCTACACTGAGATGTTTCTTGGCATCTACACTATTTTCACGCCCATATCTGCGTCACTCTTCCCATGCCATTTAGTCCACCTTCCTTCAAGTAATTGGTGTTCTGTCCTTTAATTGCCAATTTCAACCTTAAGGAGAAATATCAAGTAGCTTTAGCTTCCTTTTAGGGTCCTTATAACTCACTATTAAAGTGCATCTCTGGGCCTTTACCATCCAAATGCACCCTGGCCTGACTGCCCTTTCTGTTCTGTGGTCATCATAGCAGAAAGACATTCATTAGTACAGATTTATTCCTAATGATAGAGAAATCTTAATCATTGGTTAAGCCCCATGAAACCCATAATCTCATTCTCCATGTGTTGCTACTTACTGTTCTTACTTACTCTCATTTAATGTCAGTTATTTTACCCTTTTCTTCTTTCTTCCCTCCCTCCCTCCTTCCCTTTCTCCCTCTTTCCCCCTTCCCTCCTTTCTTCCTTCCTTGCTTCCTTCTTTCCATTTACATACAACTGTAAGTTCACACCTACATTTCATCTGCAATTCTATATTTTAGAACTTTTTATATTTCTGTCCCACATGCACCCAGATATTAAAGAATTCAGCCTGTATATCATGATTGTGTAGGCATGGAGTGTAGATCACAGACACAGCAATAGCCTGGGTTTTGAATATCCATCCTCTATGCACAATAGAGGTGATAGTTTTATGCATAACACAAATATATAGTTTTTCACATTGTATAATTGACTACATTCATCATGCACATCAAGCCTATTAAAATGTCTTTAGAGTTGAATTTTTTTATGTGCTGGTGCTGGGGCTTGAATTCAGAGCCTGAGCACTGTCCTTGGGCTTTTATTCTCAAGGCTAGTTCTCTACCACTTTATCTAGAGCTCTGCTTCCAGCTTTTTGGGTATTAATTGGAGCTAAAATTCTCCTGGCCTTTCCTGCCTAGGTTGAGTTTTAACTGTGACCAAGATCTTAACCTCCTCAATAGCAAGGAGTAAGTTATTTACCACCAGTGCCCAGGTTAAAGTTCATTTATTATTATTACTATTATTGAGATTTAAATGAGGTACATTTTCATAAGTGAGGTTATGAGTATAAGACTTCTTTGTCAATTTCACCCTTTTTTGGGGGGGGGGTCTGGTCGTAGGGCTGGAACTCTGGCCTGGGCGCTGTCCCTCAGCTCTTCAGCTCAAGGCTAGTGCTCTACCACTTAAGCCATAGCACCACTTCCGGCTTTTTTCTTCTGCTTATGTGGTGCTGAGGAATCGAACCCAGGGCCTCATACTTGCAAGGCAAGCTCTCTATCACTGACCCACCTTCCCAGCCCATGTCACCCCTTTTTTTTACGCTGCAAATATTTTAATGATTATTGTTGAACATATATTTTGGAAGTTTATTTCAAACTGCAACAAGTTTGAATAAATGTTAATAATATACAAAGAAAATACAACCAAACATAAAACTTGCTTCAAGTGTGCCTTACACCTAGACCAGTGTTTCCCTCTCCCTTAATACAGCTTTTATTCTTGAGCTGCACAAACACACTTAAGAATTTGATCTTTATAGTATGGCATTTAGGAAAGAAAAATTATACTCCCACCCCAAAGAAATAAAAAGGTCATGTATGGTTATATGCCAAACAAAAGAGAGACCACTAGAATACTCTGATAGTGCAGGCATCATTAACAAGGAAAAAAAAAGCTTAAGATGCTCATTAACTCTCTATGTCTTAAAGAAGCAGGATTTTTGATGTTGTAGCATTAAAGTCAGAAAACTGGGAATCAGTGATGGCACATGTAGTGTATGGAATATGAAATAACAAACTTTACACAGATACACTGTTAGAAACTTACCAGTGAACACTGAAGATCTGAGAAGCTGCTCTTTGGAACAGTCAAGTGACCATTTTTTTGAGTCACATGAGCCCTGATGAATCCACAGCGTTCTGTCCTGTGCAATATACCTGCTGGCTGGGTAGTTAAAGAATTTTTTTTGTCATTAGCAGCTAACAGAGTTATTCCATATGTTCTTAAAGCCTTAATGGTGGGATGAAAGGCAAGCGTCATTAGTGTGGAGGAACACATTTCTCTGCACACAAACACGAGGCACTTCACCAATTGTAAGTCTCCGATGACTCCTATTTTACTACAGAACTCAATTGATATAAAAAGCCTTTCTCCATTGCATCAGCTAACAATCATTCTCTCATGATCTCGTCAGAAGAATATTCAGGCAACTTAAGATAATGCACACATGTATTGACTGATGGATAGTTTGCATCAGTAGCATCAACCTTTCAGACAGCTGTGAGTCTGGGATGGAGGTCAGCCAGTCCGCCTGGGGGTAGAGTTGAACAACCAGTGGTAAACTGCAGGGATGCTTTCCTCTCATCTGAAGACATGCCACATAAAACCCTCACAAACCCAGGACACCAGGGCTGTCACGTGTACAACCTGGCTTAGTTCAGTGTAATTGATAATATCATCTGCTGCTCAAGAAGGTGTCAATGTCACCCTTCCTATCATTGTCCCCTATTTTCCTCTTCTTGTCCCTACTCTGAAGTCACATTGTTCATTTTTTACATAATGTCCATTAAATACAATGATTACATTTGCTTAATCTCCCCCCTCACTTTGTGGTCCCCTCTTGGCTTTCCCTTGCAAGTTATTTCCACTTTGTGGCATCAGTTTTTAAAAATATTTTATTATTATAAAAGTGATATACTAAAAGGTTATAGGTATACAAGTCAGGAAAGAAATTCATTTATTTCCAGACAATGTCCTCTCTTCTCTTGTTCTCTCCCAGATTTCCCTCCTGTTCTTACCTACAAGTTGCATAGTTCATTTTCAAGTGTCTATTGAGTGCAACTGATGCATTTGTTCAATCTTTGTCCCTCCATTTCTGTGCCCCTGCTTACCCTTCCAAAGACCTATAATGAAGAATAAGACAAAACCCCAACAAAACAAAACTAAAAACAAAAACAACAACAAAGAAAACTCTTCTTGTTTATATTTACTGGAGTTCAATAAATATATATATATAAATAAGTAAGTATTTATATATGTATAAGTATTTATATATATAAATAAGTAAATGTATGTGTGTGTGTATGTATATGAGCAGAAGCACATAGGCATTTTGCCTTTGCGTCCCTCACTTAGGAGTATCCTTTAGTTTCACTGTATGTGAACACCTAGAATCCTGTAAAATTGATGATGTCCTGGTGTATTCTAAATCTAGCTTCTGTATATGAGAGAAAACATATGTTGTTTGTCTCTCTGAGCTTGGCTAATGTTAGTTAACAGGACTTGTTCTAGTTCCATCCATGTCCTGCAAGTAACATAAAATTCGTCTTCATGCACGAGTAAAATTCTATCGTGTATATGTATCACAATTTCTTGATCCACTCATGAAGATATAAAGTACAATAAAGGTGCCTATGCCTGTATTTACATACTAATAATTATCATGAATAGGAATGATTTAAATGATTAAATTAGGTAATAAAAATCGAAAGAATAGGACTGGATGCATGTCCCAAGTTGCAGAGTGCAAGCAATGAGCTTTGGAGATAAGAATCTCATGGAGTTTCATGCTCAGGCTGGTTTTGAACCATGATCCTCAGATCTCAGCCCTCCTGAGTAGCTAGGATTACATGTGTGAGCCACTAGCTCCTGGCTAGAATAGCTTTTTGTCTTGTCATGAAAACACCTGTGCATGAAGGCATAAACATTTCATTACTCTGTTCAGGGAGCCTATGTAAGAGAATCACATTTTAGTCTGGGCAAAATCAGGAGAACCTGTCACAAAGTAAACAAAAGAAAAATATGTTTGAGGTATGGCCTACGGAGTAGAAGGCATGGTAGCAATCATAAGTCCAAACTCATGATATAATGAGTCCAGTCCTTTGAGAAGCTATAGCAATCCTGCATCCTAGATGTGACTGAAAATTGGTTATCCAAGGATCTGATAGGAAATAAATTATTACAGGTAAGAAATAAAAGATTAACCCACCATTAGGATGATATCTTTCTTTCAGTTACTGACAGATGCAATAATCCCCAAATCAATAATAATATCATTAAACAGTGCTATGAATACATTGCTTGTGAATGAGAAAAACATCATAATTCACTAATAATAATGATGCCTATTTCTTTTATTTTGGGTCCAGTCGTGGGCCTGAACTCTGAGCCTGGGTGATGCCCTCAGCTCTTCAGCTCAAGGCTAGTGCTCTACCACTTGAGCCACAGTGCCACTTCCGGCTTGTTTTTTTGCTTATGGGTGCTGAGGAATCGAACCCAGGGCCTCAAGCATACAAGGCAAGCACTTTACCACTGAGCCACTTTCCCAGCCTCCTAATGATGCCTATTTCTAATTCACACAAAAATATTCACCAAGATCTATCACATATGAATTGGAAAGTATTAGTTGATCAATTTAAAGAACAGGAAGCATACCAAGTATGCTTTCAGAAAAGCTACACACAGAACTTCTCCATCTGTGCTACATGGTGAGCTACCTCACTTAACCATAAAATATTGGGTGGAGACTTCTCTCTTAGTGCTGCATAATGTCATCCATGCTGCCCTCTACTCCTCCACTCTCACCCTGAGCAACCTGCTGGACATCAGCAACAATGGCTCCCACTTGAGTACTTTTCTTCTGAGTTAACCATATCGCTCACACCAGCACTTATAGTCTGATTCATCTTCTGCAGTCTATCTTGGCCAATGTTGTCTCTCTTCAGTAGCAAAGCCTGGATTCTATGTAGACATCTTTTACTTCTAGTAACAGATTGGTCATGTATCTTAAGTGGAAGAATGCTAATCTAGAAAGGAACCTGAGCAAGCAAAAGTTCCTTTGCTCTTTCCAGGTACAGTTTAAAATAAAGGAAGAAGAAAATACTCCTACTTATTATGGTGTTAGCAATGGTATAATGACTGGGAGTAAATCTAACTAAATTAGAGAAAGATTTGCATTCTGAAAACTACATGATTCAAAGAAAAAAAAAGACATCCTAGTGAATAGATAGGAAGACTTCCTATCAAAACATACTTATTATTTAAGTCAGTCTACAGATGTAGTGAAATATCTCTCCTAATGGCAATGGAATTTTTTTCAAATCTACAAAGTATAATTTGTGGAAAGGAAGGGAATAAACAAATCGTTTAAATAGGGATACAGGTGGATCCATTGCAACAATGAGATGTACAAGTTGTTATGCTGGGAAGGTGGCTCAGTGGTAGAACGCTTGCCTTGCATGCATGAATCCCTGGGTTTGATTCCTCAGCCCCACATAAGCAAAAAGAAAAAAGCCGGAAGTGGTGCTGTGGCTCAAGTGGTAGAGCGCTAGCCTTAAAGTGAAGAGCTGAGGGACAGCGCCCAGGCCCAGAGTTCAGGCCCCACGACTGGACCTAAAAAAAAATTGGTCTAGCTATTCGGGGTCTTTTATTGTTCCATATAAACTTTTGGATTGTATCTTCTATTTCCTTGAAGAATGAGATTGGATTATTGTTAGGCATCACATTGAATTTGTAGATAGACTTGAGAAGTATTGGCATTTTCACGATGTTGATCTTTCCAATCCAGGAGCATTGGAGTTTTTGCCACTTTCTAAGTTCTGTTTTGCTTTCCTTTTTAAAATTTTCATCATAGAGGTCCTTCACTTCTTTGGTTAAGTTAATTCTTAGGCATTTTTTTGTGTGTGGGACTATTACAAATGGAGTTGCTCTCCTGATTTCAGCCATGCTTTTCTCATTGTTGGCATACAAAAAAGCCACTGATTTTTGAGGGTTAATTTTATATCCTGATACTTTTTCCAAAGTTTTGAATCAGCTTGAGTAATTTGGGAGTGAGTCCATGGGATTCTTTAAATACAAGACCATGTCATCTGCAAAGAGGGAGAGTTTTACTTCCTCTTTCCCTATTTGGATCTCTTTTATGTTGCATCTTGTCTTATTGCTGTAGCTAGGTATTCTAATACTAGATTGAAGAGAAGTGGAGAGAGTGGACATCTTCGTCTCGTTCTTGAGTTAAGAGGAAATGGCTTTAGTTTTCCACCATCAAATATAATGCTTTGCCTGGCCTTTATTCAGCTGGCTCTTACAGTAGTCGCTTGTGAAGAACCATGATGTTTACTTGTATCTACTTGGGTGTTTGGTGATCTTAATTATCTAGCAGACACTGAGAAAGGCAGATATTTTCCCCTCTTCTATACCTGGCACAATCAGAGAGTGACCTTGTTTTATCTTCCTGTCTTTAGAGAGCTAAAGTTCAATATTTTTTTTTATTTTCTCTAGTCACTATCTGTCCTACACCTAATTGGTATATTCTCTTGCTAACTTGCTCCTTTTTCTTTGAAACTACTTACTTGGTGTTTGATCCTTTCTCCTGGGGGCACAGCAATGTGCAAATCTACAATCTGCATTCTTTTGTATTTAGCTCATTAGTTGCTTTTTTTCTAGTCTTAGAATTTATTGTTCTATGCCCTTGTCACTGTTAGTGTGTTTGTAGAAATATGCAGTTATTCTGTTGGGTTTTTATATTGGACTTGTTGCTTCTCTCACTATTTTTTAATAGTTTTTCCTTTTGCTCCACACCTAATGTTTTAGCTATGATTCTATGTACTGAGTTTCTTTACTACTCTTGCCCTCTTGGTTTTCTATCAACAGTTTATATATAAATTGATATCTTTTTCAAGAATTGACAAATATTCTAGTAATTTTTAAAATGTACTTTTGAATCCTCAGCCTCCCCCTTTCTCCTTTGTATATGTCACTGATTCATATTCTGTCAACGATGTGCAAGATATCTCCCATATTTCCTTTATGCTTTTTAAATTTTTCTTTTGTTTTGTTGGTGCAAGTCCTGGGCTTGAACTCAGGGCCTGATGTACTTTCTTTTCTGAAGGCTAGTGCTCCACCACTTTTGGCCACAGCTCTTCTTCTTGCTTTCTGGTAGTTAAATGGAGATAAAAGTCTCATGGACTTTTCTTGCTGATCTAGTTATGATCCTTAGATCTTAGCCTCTTGAGAAGCTAGGATTACAAGTGGGAACGACCAGAGCCAGGCTTAGATTTTCTTTATTTGAATATTCTAATTATGTACCTATCATGTACCTATCATCAAGCCTATTTCCTCTGTTTACAACTTGATCCATTCTGTTGGATAACTTTCAACTGAAATTTTAAATTTCAGTTATTAAGTTATTTATGTATTGAATTTCAGTTTGATTTTTTCAAAATTTCTATCTGTATTATTATTTTCCTCTACTCACAAGTTCCCTGAATTTGAGCTTCCAGATGTATAAAGCATGTGTCAGTACATAGGATAATGAATGAGAGCATTAAGTTCTATACAGGCATAGGTGAAATTAGCTTATTCTGAGTAGTTCTAAAATAATTGACATAAATAGAGAATAGTTAATTGTTTTACTTATATGTTTGTTCATTTGGTATTTTTGGTTCCTGTACTTGGGCTCGAACTCAGTCCATGGTTGCTGTCTCTTACCTTTTTGGTCAAGGCTATCAATCTACAGCTCTAGTCCAGCCTTTTTGTTGGTGAAGAGTTTTATGAACTTTCTACCCAGTTTGACTTGCATTGCCTTCCTCAGTTCTCAGCCTCTTGACTAGGCAGGAATAGAGGCATGAGCCACAAGTGCCAGGTTTATAGCTTATTTATTTGTTTGTTTATTGCAGAATTATTAGGGATTTAACTTGCATTCTTGAACATGCCAAGTAATAACTACCAGTGAACTGCCTACCAATGGAACTGACCATGAAACTAAGTCAAAGTCATATCTGTAAAAAAGGTTGTAATATTTTGAGACATATATTTCCTTCAAATACCTAATAATGCATAAACATTAAATGTTTTCCAACACACATTCATTTTGATATCACTTTTGGTATCACTGAGGTTGCAGTGTCCAACTGGAATGTGGTCCCATGTTTCCAGACTTTCATTTGCTCAGGGAAGAACTATATTAACAATTAAGAGATCTTCAAGGATAAAGGGCATGCTTTTTATTAGCAGAACCCAAGACTGACTTACCAGCCTGTCAGTGAAAATGTCTCCAGTGGTCCTTTTATAATCCCACTATACTTTTTATTGCCAGAAAAAATTGCCTTTAAGGATGTTATTTTTCAAAATGCCTGATGATCTAACAACTGGTATAGATGCATCACTCACAATACACATGGCTACATGTAGTATTGGCCTTAACTCAGCACAGAGTATGATTCCTATGGAAATACAACTTAAGGAAAATAAAGAGATTTTTTTTGGTTCCTGTACTGGGGCTGAGTATTTTTGCTCAGGCTTGAACCACAGCTTTACTTCCAGATTTTTGGTGGCTAATTGGATAAAAGAGTTTTCTGCTCTACCTGGGATCTCATCATAATCCTCAGATCTCAGTCTCCTGAATAGCTAGAATTACAGGCCTAAGCCACCAGCACTCAGCAAGAATCTCTTTAAAAATGCTACATATACTATAAAAAGGGTTTTGTTAATTGGAAGAAGATTTTCTCTATTGAAGTAAACCTAAAAATAAAGAATGCTGAATAAGAAAACATTTAGTGAATAAACTATAAGAACTTTATTTATATAGGGTGATGTAGATACTTGGATGCCAATCTCTGAGAACTTTTGGAGGAATTGTGGTAAATTACATGCATTTGAGACATTTAGGAATTACCAGGGTATTTCAGAGTCCAGAGGCTCAGAGAAGAGCATATGCTGTTAGTGGTGCCATGGCCAGGTTTTCTCACAAAGTCACAAAAAAGGGCAGAAGTTGTTTAGCATGGCTCCACTCTGCTTCCTGACATCTCCAGAATGTCTGGAGAAAGGCTGCCTGCTAATTCACTGTCTTCAGGAGTGTCCTGCAGAGCCCTCTGCAGAACCTGCTTGAGAGTCTGCCATTGCCGCTGCCTGAAGGTGCCAACAAAGAAGTAAATGATGGGGTTGCCACAGCTGTTAACAGAAGAGAGGAAAAATAAAAGCTCATGAAGATAGCATGGGAGGTAATGAAAATTAATAGTGAGCCTGTATATTAGGAAGAAGAGGATTCCACAGGGCAGGCCACAGATGATGAAGACCAGCACTGTGAGCAGGACAGTCATATACAACCTGGTCAGTGACCTGCGTTGGGAGCCACAAAACATCCTCACCATCAGAGCAAGGTTGGACCCTGAAAGAATAACTAATAAAAATAGCAAGTATCCAGCAATGGAAAGCCTAAATGACAGACACCAGTTCTGATGATACAAGTTCTTTTCGATTTCACAGTAATAAGATTGCAGAAAAATAAACGTCAGACACAGTGCCCAGAGAAGCACACACATGTAGGATGATGCATGACTTGGGCGGTGGCACCGGTACCATATGGGACATAGGACAGACAGGCAGCGCTCCAGGCTAATAAGACTGAGGAAGCTCAGGCCTGCTGCATAAGAACTCATCAATTCAAATTGGAAGACAAAATAGAGATAGCTATTGCTGTAAAGGAAATTGGTAGTGAATTTTTGCACATCAGCAATAACATCAAAGCAGAGGTAGAGAAAGTCAGCCACAGCCAGGTTTAGAATGTAAACTGAAATGGCATTTCTGTGCATTCGGAAGCCCAGGAGCCAGATCACAGCTGCATTTCCTGCCAGTCCAATCACATCAGTGATGCCACTCAACCACTGGAAAATTGTCTTCTCCATGACACAAGTTCTATTATAGATGTGGTTATTGTCATACGTTCCTGATACTTCTGTAATCAAGGCTGGTGTGGTTGGTTGCATACTTGGAATCTCACCAATGGTAGCCCTGAAAACACAAACAAGGCTTCAGCAACTCGTGTGTAATTTCTGTTGCTCAGCTTTTCCCTGCAGTATGTCAGTCATTATTTTATTGAAAAGAGGGAGAATATAGAATATCTCAGAGATTAAGTAACATGTCAAGAGTTGAGGATTTCTAGAGCATAGAAACAAATCTAGTGCTTCTCATCAATACAGCATAAAGTTTCTGCTTTGAACATCAAGACTTCAAATATCACAGGTATTCCTATAATCCAAACACCCCATTCAGAGGGCTAGTGCTATAGATCTAGCACTACGCCAGGCCAGTAATATTCTGTCTTGTGTAGGAATTTAGACAGATGTGAAGGTCACCTTGCTAGCTTTGTGTGAGGCATTTACACTCACAATTTATTCACTGAATAAACGCATGCATGCAGAGCTTTACAGTATTGTATTATGAGTTAATTGGGAAATAGAATAAAAATAGCAAGAAAACAGAACAGACTCATATAACATGATGAAGAAAATTTATTCATGCTAATTCATTTTATACAAACCAAGAGCATATTCGGAAATATTTATGTATGGACAAATATCTGATATTGATCACTTGACAGGTCTTTGAAGGACACCATATAGTTTCGTTAAGCATCCACAGAATGATATGAAGTATGGGTATGTCTACTAGAGGGGCAGGAAATGGAGTGCTCTGAAGTGTGCATTATTGGCCTACTTCACACCCTCTCCCGGATCTTTTGTAGACTTTTCTTTGTGAGGGTTTCTCTAGAGGATTCTGTGAAGGAAAATAGGAAAAGTAAAGGTTGTGAGATGTCAAGAAAGGATGCTTGCACAGATTTCTAATGAGGGAAAATGGATCAATTGATACTGGGATGTTAATTTTTATTAGATTGAGAATTTAGCGGACATTGACTCTTTTACTCTCCTCAAGAGTCTATGAGTTAACATTATTTGACTTATGAAGTGGTAATCCTTCTTACAGTACCTTAACAATAACGATAAAATAATATTTTTAAAAAGAGTCTATGAGTTAAAATGATTGTTTTCCTTATTTTACAGAAGATTGAACTGGAGCACAAAGAGTATGAATAATTAACACTGGGTTTTACAGATCACGTCTTTGAAACCAACAGGGCCATCTCAGGCCAATGAACAACGACGAAAATTGGATTTTCGATGCATGATGAGAAAACACATGAAAAATTACAGATGAAATGAAATCTGGTATGAAAATTTTTTTCTGTACATTTTTATTGTAAAAATGCTGTACAGAGGGGTTACAGTTACAGTGAGGTAATGAGTACATTTTCTATTTTAGAATGAATATTAAAAGACAGGTGGGTGATTTCCAGTTAGGAATACTTAACTGAATCTAGGGGCCTTTTGCTCTTCTCAAAATGCATCCATAGCAGGAGTCCTGAAAGTAGAAAGAGATCCTTCTGGGAGTAGAGAGGCATACAGAGAAAGAATCCACCATGAACTCCCATTATGTGGGAAGGCTTGATCAGGGAATGCAAGGAGAAACAGAAGTTCTACTAACACTGCACAAGGAAGTACACAGATGAAATATATATTTTTAGGTTTATGCCTTGTAATTTCAAGCTCTATGAGGAGGATATTACAGATATTCTATTACTGACATGTCTCCACATTTAGTGTTTTTCCATACATCATGTACCTTCATATTCTCAAACATCACAAGCTAGTTTCCTGAACTTACATAATAAAGATCACGTTCCATACTATCTCCTGGTCTACTTCAAGTTTATGTGATGTGTTCCTTCTGCCCCCTGCACTATTTTTTTCCCCAAAATACTTTCACATGACTACAGAGCTTGAGAAAACATCAGTTGCTTTCAGGTTTGCTAGAGTTCCCTAGTAAGAAGTTGTTCTTTAACATGGGATATTTTAGATTTAAATTTATTTTACATTGTATGTTAATTATAATGGCAAGGCAGGATCCTGTCCTACAACAAGGATGTGAGTAGAGTGTTACAGCCTTTCCTAGATCCTGGGATTAACAGAAGGAATAAACCCTCCATTCACATCTTCCTCTTTCCTAGGCTGAATGATATGTTAATATAACCATTCACCAAATTATCATTTATGATTAGGAAAATTATCATCTTGGTAATTTTGAAATCCTTGGATCATATCCTGAAGAGATTCTAGCCTACATCAAATTGAATCTATGAAAAAGGCCTTGTGTAATTGTCCTATATCTAAATAGGCATCATTATTTTCTATTCAGTAAGGATCATATTTTCCATTTTCAAAGAACAAACATTTCTGTTTTGAGATGTTTACAAACAAGAAGTGATACACAAAACAGTAAGATGCAAACCAGAAATAATAAGTATGATGAATAATGAGGTGAGATGAGAAATACTTCAATGATATTTAGACCTAGAAAACCACATGGAATAGGAAAATCTAAAAGATGTGAATATGTTCCATATTTTTTTCTCAAACTTCTGTGACATCTTTGGTATCCTAAGAATATGGATTTTATGGAATCCATCAGTGCAATCCTATTCCTACTGTTTTGGTTTCAGTTGAGCCACTGGAGAATAACATTGTCACACCAAAGGGCAGAGGGAAAGAAATTTTTGTTTTTTATCTACTACTTCCCTGTTACTAATCTGTGACTTGACAATAGCTGTACATATAGCATTACATATAAAGTTATGTCTGTACTTTAATTCTTAATAGCTCTTCTGCTAAGGGTAGAGATTCTGTTTGTCTTTTTCTTGCTCATCCCATTCACAATGCAATTGTCATGGTCCCTTGAGTCTGCCAAACTTTGTAAATAATCTGCTCTTGAAGAATTTCTCAATTATTCTGATTGAATCATCTATTTCTTTTACATATGAATCCATAGATATACAATACAGAGAACCAACAAAACCTATGATAGACTGTCAGTTCTGTAAAGCATATCTCCATATCTCCTTCATTTTAATGAGCATTAAGAAACAGCATTTGCTTTCTGTTAGAATACTTTTTCTATTTTAATCTTAATATTATTCATTTTAATATTTTTAATTTTTAGGTAGTGGTGAAAAGGAGTTTCCATTCAACAAAGCAGTTTATGAATACAGTGCATCGAGATCATTGTCATCTGGTTCAACATTTTAACCATACCTCTCAATCTACACCCTCCCTTACTTTCCTTAATTTTTTAAGGTAAGTATTGACTTTTTCTGCCACTTAATAGAGCAGTTTATTTATACAGTATATGTTGATCTCTGTCAGCCTTTCAACATTTTCAGCCCCCTTTAACCTACTCTTTCATATCTATCTATCTATCTATCTATCTATCTATCTATCTATCTATCTATCTATCTATCTATCTATCTATCTATCTATCTAATTTGCCTATTTATTTGGTGCCAGTTCTGGGGCTTGAGTTCTGGGCCTGGGCACTGTCAAAAGAATATTTTTTATTTTTATTTTTTACTCAAAGCTAGCTCTCTATCACTTGAGCCACAGCTCTACTTCTGCCTTTCTTTTTCTGGTGGTAATTAGAGATAAGAATGGATTATCCAGTGTAGGATGGCTTTGAACCATGATCTTCAGATGTCAGCCTCCTGAGTAGCTAGGACTCCAGGTGTCACTGGCACATAGCATGGTAGCAGATTTTAATGTAAATAAAAGAGAATAAGGATATTTAGATCAGAAAACAGAAAGTTATATTATTCCATTTAAAATTCACACAGTAGGAGCTACCAACCAAGTATTCAGAAGGAAACTCTGTCTGGATTTCTCATAACCCCCTCAATAAAGCACCTTATCTTAGAAACACAGAGACATGAACTCAGAGCAAATATCATAACTGGATACCTGGATACCTGGAATAAGTCCTTACCTTTCTTCCATTTTCCTGTTCAGAGTTGCAGATATGACCTGTTGTGGAGAAGAGCTTTTCTCAGGCTGGGCAATAGCAGAGTCCACTTCTTTGTTCTGAAATTCAAAAGATAACAAGGGCTGTGGAAAGCTTGTGATCAAAGTGAAGCATATCAAGACTGTAGAGAACCTGTGTGATTTTTTTGTACATGTCCTCGAAGCAAATCAGAGACCAGAATCACATGAGTCATGATGCTTCACTGAGATGTTTCTTGGCTCTACTCTATTCTCACACCCATAGCTGCCTCCCTTATCCATTTCATTCAGTCCACCTTCTTTAAGTAATTGCTAATGTGTCCTTTAATTGCCTACAAATATCAAGTAATTTTACCTTGCATTTTGGGTCCTTATGATTCAATACTAAAGTGAATCATTGGACCATTGCCAGCCAAAGTGCACCCTAGCCTGACTGCCCTTGTAATTTCAATGTTTTTTTTTTGTAGCAGGAAGGCATTCATTAGTATAGTTTTATTCCAAACGATAGAGAAATGTTCACAAATTGATTGGCTCCATGAATCCCATAATCCCATTCTCCATGGTTGCTATTTCCTATACTTATTCTCATTTAACTTTGGTTACTTTTCCTTCCTTCCTTTCTCCCTTCCATTTACATACAATGGTGGGTTCTAACCTGCATTTCATCTCTTATTCTACATTTCAGAACTTCTTACGTTTCTATCCCACATGCACCAGGATATTAAAGAGGTTAACCTGTATATCATGATAGCATAGGGTGGAGTGTAGATCAGGGATACAGCACTAACCTGGATTTTGAACATCTATAGTCTATCCACAGTAGAGTGAAAGCTATATGCATAATACAAATATGTAGTTCTGCAATGTGCAGTAGGAAATGTACCTTACTCATGTAACTGTAACCCCTCTGTACAGCATCTTTACAATAAAATGATTTTAAAAAACAAATATGTAGTTCTGCATATTGGGTAATTAACTATTCTCATCATGTATATCAGTCTTAATAAAATATTTTTAGAGTTGAATTTGTGTGTGTGTGTGTGTGTGTGTGTGTGTGTGTGTGTGTGTGTGTGTGTGTGTGTCGGTGCTGAGGTTTGAATTCAGAGCTGGAGCACTGTCCCTGGACTTTTGTTCTCAAGGCTAGTGGTCTACCACTTTAGAGAGAGCTTCACTTCTGGCTCTTTGGCAGTTAATTGGAGATAACAGTCTCATGGTCTTTCCTGCCTGGGCTGGATTTTTAACTGTGAACATAGTTTGTAGCCTCCTGAATAGCTAGGATTACAGGTATGTGCCACTGGTATCCAGTTTAGAGTTCTTTTTTTTATCAAGTAGTTTTACAAATGGGTTACAATTTCATGTCAGGTTATGAGTATAATGCTTCTTGGCCAATGTCAACTCTTCCTTTGTTCTTCCCTATTTTACTCCACTTGTCCCTACACTTACGTAGCATAGTTTATTTTGTACATAATGTACATAAAATATAATGACTATACTTGCTCAATCTTCCTCCCTCCATTTTTGCACCCCCATTTGTACATCCCCTAACATGCATTTCCACTTCCTGGTATTAGTTGTTTTTAAAAATTTTTTTTTATTGTTATTATAAAGGTAATATGCAGAAGGGTACAGTTACATAAGTCAAGTAATGAGTACCTTTCTTTTTGGACAATGTCACCCCTTCCCTCACTCTTGCTCCATTTTTCTCTCTCCTCCTCAACTATAAGTTGTATATAGCTCATTTTCACCAGTGTGTTTGGTGAGTGTCACTGTTGCATTTAGGCACACATTGTCCTTCCATTTCTGTACCCCATTTACTCTTCCAAAGACAGATGAACAAATAAACAAGACCAAAAGAAAAATAGCAACAAAGAAAAAATCTCCAACTTCTATTTCTTAGTGTTCATTTGATATTTTTTATGATAAGAGACACATAGGCATTGCACCTTTTGGTTCCTCCCCTAAGATTATCTATTCATTTCACATTGTGTGAATGCCTGGAGTCCTGTAAAATTTATCATGTCCTGGTATGTTTTAAATCTAGCTTCTGAATATGAGAGAAAACATATGCTGTTTGTCTCTCCAAGCTTGACTACCTTACTTAACATGATTTGCTCTATACCTATTCATTGCCCCGCAAATCACATAATATTATTCTTTTTTTTAGCTTTTACATCAACTTTATTTTCAGAGCCAACCTGTGGGAGTTAATAAACCTCCACATTGCCACTTGTTTTAGGAATCATATTCCCTCTTACATGCACCAAAAATCTCATATTCAGCTATGAGTTCTGGGTTGCAAAAGAGGATTTACTCTTTGTACCTGTTTGCAAGGCTTTGTTGCAAATTAAATTAACACACACACACACACACACGTGCTCAGAAATGGTCTAATATTGTGGGATGGGAAACTGTGAATAAAAGTCAAGGAGCAGAAACTTAACTGTTCTACAACTCCCCTTACTGCTCATGTCTCACACAATGGGGAAATTTTAGACCACAAGAAGGACCTCAATCCTTGATTCCCTTTATGACAAGGTACAGTCAAAGTGAAGTGAGCAGAATTGCTGTAATGAGCACTTAGGTTGTTCTGTTCCTTCTCTTCCTCTAGTCTCAGATACTCATGTCACTGGAGCCACCTGGGATCATGGGGATGAACACATATCTCTAGGAAGATAAGAATAGAGTTGTGTTGTTGGGTGCTCTGGAGTATTTAGTCCAATTCTAATAATTGTTCTCTTTGGTGTAACTATATGTGAAAAAAGTTGTCTTTTTATACGATCAAATATTCTAAACTTAAGTAACCTATAAATGCAAGAATACTTCTAATACCTTTGCCATATCCTTTTCTTGCTAATTTTCGTGTGCTACTATTCACAAGATGTGGCTATAGGTAAGAAGCATAAAATCAAAGTTCAAAACCTGTGATATGAGATACATTGAGAAACCGATGCAAACATATTGAGATAGAGAAGCACACAAAACATTCAGAGTGAGGAGGCTATATGAAGAAACAGATTTTTGTACCCGTTTGGCAACAAAACATCATGTGGCCTTTTCTCTACTTTTGTATCCATGGAGGAGATACTTATGCCTCATGAATGGGTACACTTACACACTATCTCCCAGTTACATTCAGTCAAAAGGAGGTATTCATAGATTTGGAGAGCAGGAGGAGAACAAGCAGAGACTTAACATTTCTTCCCTGTCTCCCCCTTGTAGTGTAAATGATCATTAGCCATGTTATTGTACCCATGGAGATAGCATCTATCTTGTAGCCTTCTTTTACAACCACAGCTTCAACCCCACTACAGCTTCAGCCCGGAATTTTGAAAATTCTTCTATCCCATCAGCGGTGCAAACCTAATGATGTTAAAACTTCCTGCTCTTACCCAATTATTCTCCTGGGTATTATTCGTTTATACCATTCCATGCATCTCTAAGAAAGGACCTACACTGATAAATTGTCCCTTGCTTGAACTCATTTTAATCATCTTGTTTAGATCATCTAGTTGTTGCTGGATGTCTCACATATATAAAAGGAGAAAAACTTTCTGAAACAAGACAAATACACAACAGGATTATTAACAAGCACAAGCACTTTTTGGGGAAAACACACACATTATATGTATATATATACATATTATGTGTATATACACACATAAATATATACGTTCAAATACACACATATATGGTGTATATATATATATATATATATATATATATATACCATCTCTTCCTAAATAAAGGAAAGCAGTAGATTTCCTCCCATTTCAGCATATTTGAATGGCTCTAATGAAGGGTAATACAGAAAAGCTCTGTTTTAGTTTCCATAAAGCCAAGAGTTAATCCTGCCAGTACTCAAATATGCCAGGGGGAGCCTCATACATCTTGTCTATTTCTTCTTGAGCTGGTTCCTAGAACACGCTACTTTAATGTGAAATGATGTGGATTTAAACTAAGAGGAAAAAGACAAAGGTTACTGTAAAGAGAGATTGTTGATCATATCTTTCCTCTGTTCTTCACACTGGAAGTGGTCAGTGTTCTGTGCTGAAGTAAAGACAGTTGGGGTTAAGAACCTCTGCAGGACACTTCTCTACCCTGGAGAAGTCCATACAAGAGTGAACCCTGATGCTCAAATGATGTTTATCAAGATGATTGACAGCCCCGTGATTTCCTGTCCTGGGACCCCCTGGTAAATGAGAGTGTGGAGTCCGTTAGTCTTATTCTGCTCCTATCTCTCAATATCTGCCCATCTTCACTCTAACCTTCATCTTTCCTGAAAATCATTGCTGCTTTGAAGCTTTTTCCTGCCAGCCAATCAGCAGTGCTAGCCAATGTGAAACTGTTATTAGGACCTTCCTGTGTAACTAAAACCAAAACACAAGTTTTGTTTATCTTTTAAGTTCTCCTTGGCTTTGTCTACCGTTTTCTTTTTCTTAGAAGTAACCCAAAGGCTGGGTGCTAATGGCTCATGCTTGTAATCCTAGCTACTCTGGAGGCTGAGATCTGAGGATCATGGTTCAAAGCCAGTCTAGGCATGAAAGCCTGTGAGATTCTTATCTCCAATTAACCACCAGAAAACCAGAAGTGGTGCTGTGGCTCAAGTGGGTAGAACACTTGCCTTGAGCTGAAGAGCTCAGGGACAGCACCCACGCCCAGAGTTCAAGCCACCAGAAAAAAAAAAAAAAGAACACAAGCATTTTTCCATGTTTTTCCTCTAATTGATACTGAAATATATGCAACAAATGGAAAGCCTTCCTAAATTTTGCTTTCCAAAATCAACAACTTTTTCTTTAAAATAACTTATTGAGTACTGTTAGGATTTTAGTCAGTATATTGAACAGTAAATTTAATTCTATGTTTTACTTTCAGCATAGAACAGCATTAAAAGATGATGTAAAGGATTTAGAATGCAGTAGGAAATTTGGAACTAAAAACAACTTAAATATAACTAAAGGACTAAGAATTCACATAAAAATGTAGATAAGACTATTAGGTGGAGTGACTCATTCCTGTAATCCTAGTAATTTGGGAGGCAAATTAGGAACAATGAAGTTAAGGCCAATGGAAAAATTGCTGAT